CCCCATTTGGTGCCACCCCGGTGCCACGGGCAGGGTCCTGCTCCCCGCTCACCCCTGGCTCCTCTGTCCTGGAGGCCGCGGGCGCCGCAGCCGCTCCGGGCAGGGCCGGGCTCAGTCTCGGGAGGCAGCGATGCGATCCACCTGCAAAAGGGACACGCAGCCTAAAAACAGCTCCGGGGGGACACGGCCGGGGCTGCTGCTGCTCCCGGGAAAGCAACCCAAGGGAACGGGATTCCAGGGCTGGGATTCCAGGGCTGGGATTCCAGAGGTGGGATTCCAGGGGTGGGATTCCAGGGGTGGGATTCCAGGGGTGCATTTCCAGGAGTGGAATTCCACGGGTGGGATTCCAGAGGTGGGATTCCAGGGGTGCATTTCCAGGAGTGGAATTCCACGGGTGGGATTCCAGGGGTGGGATTCCAGAGGTGGGATTCCAGGAGTGCATTTCCAGGAGTGGAATTCCACGGGTGGAATTCCACGGGTGGGATTCCAGAGGTGCATTTCCAGGAGTGGAATTCCACAGGTGGGATTCCAGGGCTGGGATTCCAGGGGTGCATTTCCAGGGGTGGGATTCCAGGGGTGGGATTCCAGGGCTGGGATTCCAGGGATGGAATTCCAGGGCTGGGATTCTAAGGGTGGGACTCCAGGGCTGGAATTCCAGGGGTGCATTTCTAGGCTTCTGTCACCCTGAGGAAATGAACCCATGGGAAGGGCTGGGACTCCAGGGGTGGGATTCCAGGGGTGGGATTCCAGGGGTGGGAATTCCAGCCTTCTCTCACTGCGGGATTCCCTGAAAAAGGCACCCAGGAGCTTCCAGAAGCTTCCAGCATTTCTGGAATGAGGGTGACACTCACTGAGCAGGGGCCAGGGCTGGGCTGGGCTGTGCTGACTGCAGCTGCCTCAGTGATAATAATAATTCAGTAAATAATAATTCAGTAAAAATTAAGGTACAGAAGCAGTTCTGCCTTGGGGGGATCTCACAGGATTTCTTCTAGAGTGGAAAAAATCCCAGTTAGGATTTTTCTTTTAGGGCAGGGGGGATATGAGGAATGAAATGCTGAATCTCTGGCCTAGAACAGCCTCGCTGGGCAGGAGAGGGGCGAGTTAAACCCTGAGGTTTTCTGCTCTGTGCACCCAGGGGTTGCCTCTGTTCTTAATGGATTTAACTAAAGACCAGTAATTCCGTTTGGTTAACGTAGGGCACTTGATTTTATTCAAAGGGCGAGATACAAAAAAAGTAAGCAAAGAGACAAAACCCAGATGAGAAATGCTACAGACAGAAGGAGACATCTCCTGCACACAGCACACGACAAACACGGTACAGTCTGGTCCCCACAGCCCAAGCCAGCTGGATATGTACAGCACACAGCAGCTACAGGGGAGGAAATGTGGGTTTGCCACTCAAATGTCTATTTACAGAAACTGAA